GAAGTTGTTGTGTGCGGCTGCGGTTAGGTGTTTACCTGTTCAGCCATCTTGGATTCTTTGTGTTCCATGTATTTGGATAAAGAACAAAACAATGCCTTGTGCTGGAGGCCAATGGCATATCATTAGGATGGACAGAAAGGAGGGACTTGAGTCCTGTTTTGTTTCCATTTTTTCTTTTGAACTTGAAAAAAATAGGACAGGTGGTGATAGGACGGACATGAACCCCAAGTTGGGTGATTCATCATCTGACCATGGCAAGTTCTCCTGCATTGCTGAGGTTATAGTTGGTGACCTACAGGATGCATTAGAGACAGCAGAGGGTCTGAGGCCTAGAGATGACTAATATCCATTTAGCAAAAAGACAAAGGAGGTGGGCTCCACAAATTACTATAGACAAGGCTTGTAAGCACTTAAAAAAGCACTTAGGAAATGGTTTGTCACTGGGCTTGATTGGGCTCACAGGGGATAAGGTATACCCATTTTAGTTTATTTTTTAAATATTAGACAAAGTTTTTTTTGGATTTTAGGTAAGGTTTTGATGTAATCAAATGGCAGCCCCATCCAATTGCCATTTTTTTTTTTTAAATCAATCTTTATTGTTCATATTATTACAAAGGTTCCTCATTTCTTCCCCCCTCCACCAGGTTCCCACCCCACCCTCCGTCCCCCCCCCCATCCCCCATTGTCCTCATCCATAGGTGCAGTTTATGTTCAGTCTCTTCTGCCCTCAATTTCCCCAATAGTAAATCCCTTTTCAGATAGTAAATCAGTTACTTAGCATTTTCTCATATCAATAATACCTCCACATGCCCAATGATACACTTCACACAAAAGACATTTCCCACTAGGTCAACCAGCCTCATCCAGGCCCCACCCAAGGCACTCACAGATCAACAACCCAGTCCTAAACTAACTCAACACATCCAGATCTAAGCCTTCATCACTTGATTCAGCAGACCCTCAAGTTCCCACGAAAGTTTCCAGCCATGTCTGAGAAGCAGCCGTGGGGCAGGGGCAGGCAAGGAGCGAGCTGTTCTGGGCCTGGCTGCTCAGGGCCTGGTCTCTGTTGCTCTGGTTCATTCCACAACCAGCTGCTCCGGGTCTGGTCACTGCCGCTCCCGACCTAGTTGCTCTGGACTTGGCTGCTGCTGCTCCGGGCCTGGCCGCTCCCAGCCTGGCAGCCGCTGCTCCGGGCCTGGCCGCACCAGCCCCGCCTGCTCCCCCGGGCCTGGCCGCTCCCAGCCTGGCAGCCGCTGCTCCGGGCCTGGCCACACCAGCCCCGCCTGCTCCCCTGGGCCTGGTCGCTCCCAGCCTGGCAGCCGCTGCTCCGGGCCTGGCCGCACCCGACCCGCCTGCTCCCCCGGGCCTGGCCGCTCCCAGCCTGGCAGCCGCTGCTCCGGGCCTGGCCGCACCAGCCCCGCCTGCTCCCCCGGGCCTGGCCGCTCCCAGCCTGGCAGCCGCTGCTCCGGGCCTGGCCGCACCAGCCCCGCCTGCTCCCCCGGGCCTGGCCGCTCCCAGCCTGGCAGCCGCTGCTCCGGGCCTGGCCGCACCAGCCCCGCCTGCTCCCCCGGGCCTGGCCGCTCCCAGCCTGGCAGCCGCTGCTCCGGGCCTGGCCGCACCCGACCCGCCTGCTCCCCCGGGCCTGGCCGCTCCCAGCCTGGCAGCCGCTGCTCCGGGCCTGGCCGCACCCGACCCGCCTGCTCCCCCGGGCCTGGCCGCTCCCAGCCTGGCAGCCGCTGCTCCGGCCTGGCCGCACCAGCCCCGCCTGCTCCCCCGGGCCTGGCCGCTCCCAGCCTGGCAGCCGCTGCTCCGGGCCTGGCCGCACCCGACCCGCCTGCTCCCCCGGGCCTGGCCGCTCCCAGCCTGGCAGCCGCTGCTCCGGGCCTGGCCGCACCAGCCCCGCCTGCTCCCCCGGGCCTGGCCGCTCCCAGCCTGGCAGCCGCTGCTCCGGGCCTGGCCGCACCTGACCCGGCTGCTCTGGGCCCGGCTGCCCCGGGCCCGGCCGCTCCGAGCCTGGCCACTCCCGACCTGGATGCTCTGGGCTTGGCTACTGCTGTTCTGGGTCTGGCTGCTCCCACCCCGGCTGCTCTGGGCCCGGCTTCTTCGGGCCCGGCCACTCCGGGTCTGGGTGTTCCTGGACTGGCCACCCTGGGCTTGGCCGCCTCCGCCTCATGCCTGGCTGCCACTGCCCCAGGTCTGGCTACTCCAGTGCTGGCTGTTGATGCTCTGGTTCTGGCTGCTGTTGTTCTGGGGCCTGGCCGTTGCTGCTCCGGGTCTGGCTGCCACTGCCTTGTGCCTGGCCACTCTAGGCCTGGCCGTCGCTGTTCCAACATTCTGTCCTTTTTTTTTTCTTTTTAAAACGCATTTATGTTGCAATGTTGGCTGGTGAGTTGAGTTCTGACTTAGTCTTTGATTTTTTCAAGAACTTCTTTGTATTCTTTCTTAAGTAATTTTACTATTTTTTGCTCTCACTTGATTTCTTCACATTGAGAACTTCTTTGGTTTCTTCCTCCTTGTCCTGGGAGCTCAGCAGGTTGGCCTGTGGCACCCCTTTGTTCTCCGCGGGCTCCTGTGCTGCTTCAGCCTGTTGCCGGGACGGCGCCGCCCAGGAAGCAGCCCCAGGCCTTGGCTCCATTGCCCGAGCTCAGTGGTCAAAGGCTCAGGGGCACCCACGCCCCCAGGGGCCCCGTGGCCCGCCTCCTTGCTGGTGCCCGGTTGGCTGGAGTCCGGCAGGGGCTTCTGCTCCCCTCCGCGTTCCCCCAGCCTAGAGCATTTTTTTTCTCCTTCCCGCTAGGGAAGTCCAGCATCAGAGTCAACAGACTGTCCTCTGCGCGCAGTTTGCGCGAGTCCCACAGACTGTCCTCTGCGCGCAGTTTGCGCGAGTCCCGGGGGCCCGGCCTTTCGCCGCTCTCCCCGGACTCCACCTCACAGCCCCGTCTCCCTCTGCCTGAGCCTGGGTCCCCAGGGATTGGCCCAGAACTGGGGTTCGGAGCAGTCCGGACTGAGGCTCAGCGCCGCCTGAGGCCTTGTTTCTTCCAGCTAGGGTAACCCAGTATCAGAGTCAACATTCAGTCCTCTGCGCGCATTGCGCGCGACTCCCGGGGCCCTGCCTTTCGCCGTTTTTCCGCCTCACGGCCCTGTCTCCTCCCGCCGGAGCCTGGGTCCCCAGGGTCTGGCCCATAACTGGGGCTCAGCGCTGCCGGTTCGGGGGGGCTCAGCGCTGCCGGTTCGGGGGTTCAGCCCAGGCTGGAGGTTTTATTTCCTTCCTGCTAGGGAAGGAAAGGCGGCTCCCCACCCTCTCCTCCTCTCCGGCTGGGACCTCTCCGTGCGCGCATGCGGGCGGGCAGGCGCGCGCAGCATGTCTCCGTACCTTAGGCTTTTTTTCAGCTCCTCTGATTTTCTTTCTGGTTTTCTCTTTCCTTCTTGTTGTAGAAATTTCAGTCAGTCGACTACCTGTAGCTCTGGGCAATGTCCACTCTACATTTTAGTTGTATTCCATTGAAATTGTTGTGTGCTGCCGCGGCTAGATGTCTACCCGAGCAGCCATCTTGGATCCTCTCCCCCAATTGCCATTTTGTTTAGAACTGGACAAGGCTTGTTCAGGGCTGTCCTAGAGGGGATTCCAGTGCTCAGTGGGGGTTTGATTTAAATAACTTTTTAAAAGGTCCCTGAGGTTTTGAGCAAGTTCCGAGTATGGTAGATTCTTATAGGGGAGTGAGAGAGAATGGACAAGTCCAAGAGCTCTCAAGTAGAACTGGGGACACCAGAGCTTCTGAAGTTCTATTGTAGGCTGCCTCTCTGAGACTTCTGTTCTCTACTTTGCTCTTAAGTGCTATGTAGAATACTGCCCCATGCTAGGCAGGAAAGAAGTGAGAGAAGGCCTTCGGGAGACGATAGGGAGAGCTGTGGACTAGGTTGAATGGACATAGGCACACTTCATCCAAAGAGGCAGCCATCACTCAATCCCACTAAGTCGTTATCAATAGGAATGTGGATCCAGGATTGCCAGAGCTTCTGATTTTCAAGAGAAGCCAGGAAAACAAGTTTTCTATGTGAAATATTTTGTTTTGTATATACTGGCTAAAAAATGTTTATAACCCCATGCAGGCCAGACAACATATCCGCAGACTGGATCTGGCCCAGACACTGCCACCTATGACTCCTCCTCTGATTAGTTAATGATTCTGTCCTTGTTCCTCTTGACATTTCTCCCTTCTGGATAAATATCCCCCAAAGGTGTGATTTCCTATATCTTTCTCTCAGCCACCTCTTCTGGGCTCCTTTACCTTGAGTTCCATTTACCATGTACTCTTTCTTAAGGCCATCATTCTGTTAAGCACCGTGACCATCCCCCTTGTTTGCATTATCTAGTAAATGAGTAGTATCAAGGTAAACTTTGTTTTTGCCCCAGGAGTGTCGGCATGTTTCATAGGTTTGGTTTTCTTGGAGCCTGTCTGCAGCCAGAGCGCATGAGTCCTTGTTCCTAGAAGTACGAGAAGAGACTGCCTGCTCTCTCGCTGGGGCAGGGATACAAACACCCTGTGCCGGGCCCCAGATCCCAGTGCCTTGGCCTGCAGAGGGCAGGGCTCCAATGTGGTCGAGAGCTCGCTACCTGTGAGCCTCCTTGGGATGGCCCTTCCTGCCAGCCATGGCCCCTGGGATGCTCTTACCCTGAGTTTCTCTCTCGTCTGGCTCTGCCTCTTGCCTCTGGAGCGGCAGGAGCCTGTGGCAGCCTGCAGCTTCATATACATTGCACAGTTGATGACTGATTCCACAGTAGCCCCTTGATATGGAAGTGAAACAGCCACAGCTGGTGGAGCCTGAACTTTTGGTGACAGTAGAAGTAGTTATGCAAACTGCCAAGGAGGGAGAAGTGCTTTCTGTAGCCAGGTTATGAAGAAAGCTCTTGCCTGGCCTGGTCCCATGTGGCCTCCAGGAGTGACTCTTATAACATGTCTCACCACCCTCATTTCCCAACCCCCATTTTTTCTTGGTGACAGCTGGAAGTAGCAGTGGTCACAACTGAAAGAGCCAAACATTTCTACAGCCCCCAGGACATTCCTGTCACCCTCTACAGCGATGCCGATGAATGGGAGGTCAGTGCTGGAGGTCCCCAGGGCTGTGTTCCATCATGTGTCTACCAACAGCACAGGACTATATTCCTGCAGCCCATAGTCCTGGTGGCTGGAGCAGACAGACCAGGCTCAAGTCAGTAGGTAGGGCCCTCAAGGCAGAGTTGATGAAGAAAACAATTGTCTAGCTTCTGGCCTGTGGGAGGCCTGTAGTCTCCTCCCACCCCTGGCAGCACTCAGCTTTGGCCCTGAACCTGAAGTTGAATGCCCTTGGGCTTATCTGGGCTGATATAACCACAGAAGAGCTCTGTTCCCCTCACCCTGTCTCCATGGGTCCCAATGTCAGGGCTGTCCAGAGTGCCTCACTTCCCACAGCCTGCATCTGCTCTCCCTCAGAAAGGTGGGCACCAGCTGATTCACCAGACATTGAGTGTGGGCCTCAAGGGGTGCCCTGAAAGGCATTTTTAAACATTCTCAGCCTAGAACATTTCTGATTGGTCTATCTTCCCCAATTCTCTCCCTCCCCCATTTCTCACTGCCCCAGACATTTCTCACTATCCACTGGCTTAGACAACCCAAGCATCTGTCTCAAGCAGACAGGGCAGGAATCCCCTGCCAGATGTCAGTTCTCTTGAAAACAAATAAAGTGAATAGCTTGAAAGACAAGGGGCGTTTGTTTTCTCAGGCCTGGTTTCTCTCAGGCTGTTGACTGCAGCCAATGCTCTCACCAGCTTAGCTGTGGAGGGGCTGGCAGTGGATTTGGGCAGGGTTGCTCATCAGATAGTCTCCTCCAGTTCCTGACTTAGTGTCCTTGGCCCCTGTTGCCCCCCTTCCCCCCTACACACCTCCTTCCTCTACGAACAGAGTTGTCTGCCCAGTGACCCCATTTCTTTCTCTCTGCCAGATGTGGAAGTGCCGGTCTGACCCCGTTCTCCACATTGACCTTCGGAGGTGGGCAGACCTTATGCTGGTGGCTCCTCTTGATGCCAACACTCTGGGGAAGGTGGCCAGTGGCATCTGTGACAACTTGCTTGTGAGTGAATCCTGTCTCCTCCCTCCCTGAACCTCTCTCCCAGTTTGCCGAGTTACAGACTACCCGTGTACAAGGTTTTCACCTTGGAATCCTTTGATCGTGGTCCAGTTTGCTCAGAACACTGTCCCTCTGCCCCTACCCATCTCACCTGTGCTCTGGCAAATGGGCAGAATGTGTGGTCCTGATGGATAGACTCAGCCTGTGGGTGCTTTCTGAGGCTGTCCATTTCTCACCTGCTCTTTGACGTTCAGCTCTTCTCCCTTTGTCCTTCATTCATGGGCTGCCATCCTGTCGATTTCCTGGCCTAGTCCCATTTCCTGCCTTCTCACTGGGATCTGGATATCCACATGGGCAACTGATAAGAGTGTTAATTCTTCATGGATGTTTCATACACATTTATCTCTTCTGTATTTTAGTCACAGGTGGAGGTCCAGTTTTCCTATGTGTCATGGAAAGCTGAGAGAGGAAAATAGACAGGGCAAGAGTGTGAGCTTATGGATGATGGAGGAAAAGAGCACAAATTCAGCTGTGCAAGGTGGGGATTAATAGACCTCCAGGGAGCTATTGTCCTTAAAGAACCTTTGTGTACTTGATCATCCTGGGAAGAGTTAGGCATGATCTCTCTCCTCCCCCTGCCTTATTACGATCCCTTTCCTCATTTATTGAGCTTTTACCTACCATGAACTGGACCCATGCTGAGGACACAGGGAACTCACAGTCTGGAAGGAGAGAATTTTTTTTCACCCATTCAGGCCAGAAGGGAGCATGCTCTGGTGTGTGGTCTAGTCTTAAATGTTCCCAGTCAGTCCTTTGACAATAGAGTCACCACTTTGCAAAGTGCTAGGCATATACTTACTATATGTATGAGATAATTACTAATTTTATTGTGACAAACAGCCAGGAGTTTTTCAGAGTCTAATATGGTGAAGAAGTGAATAATGAAGCTGGGCCAATATTTTTTGGGGTCAGATAGGTTAGTCTCCTCCTATTTTGTTGATAGCACTTAAGGCACTTTTGGAAGAATCTACTAGTGATTTCAGCATCACTTGAATAAGAACACAAGATGACCAGAAGAAGGGCAGCACACAGATTGTGTGGCCAGGAGCACGGTAAGGGGGTGCAGAGATGGGTGAGCCTATGGTAAGGGAGTGCAGAAGGCTTCCCAGTGGGGCTGGTGCCAAGGCTGACCGGGCAGCTAGAGCCTGTGAACCTCCTGCCACTATGAGGATATGAAAAGGTATCAACTAGAATTAAGTGGTCAGAGTTGTATGTGCCCAGCACTGTGTCAACAAACCTCTAGGGTTCCCACTGCTAGTCAGCACACCAAGCTCTAGGAGTGAAGCCCCGGCCTAGGCTGCTCTCCGAGGGCTTCCTCCTTCCTCCTGAAAGTTCTGCTTCCCTTTTTTCCTTGAAGATGCCCTCCTCCTGAGTTGACTGAGCAGTAGAATAAGTTTCTAAAGCCAGCCCCCAGATAATTTTCCTCAAAAGATTTCACTTGAAGGCAAATTTAAACAAAATAAATATTTTTGTTGATTTCAGAGAAGGGAGAGGGAGAGAGAGAAACACCAATGAGAGAGAATCATCAAGCGGCTGCCTCCTGCATGCCCCGCACTGGGGATTGAGCCCGAAATGCAGGCATGTGTCCTGACTGGAATTAAACCTTGACTTCTGGTTCATAGGTCAGTGCTCAACCATTGAGTCATACTGGCTGGGCAAAGGCAGATATTTTAAGAAATTGCAAATCTTACAATGTATTAACTGTCACCATCTTTGCTCTGTGGCTCTGTCCTTTCTCAAAAGATGTTTTATCCTTATATCCTTTATCCTTTATCCTGGAAAAGAAGCTCACCCTGCTACTTCTCTCCTTTACTTCTCCTTCCTTCCTTTTTAGTGCCCAGAACTTGTGGTGCTATTAGAGCAGTGTGCTGAGTGTGAATCTGTGTACTGGCCTCTGGGCCCTTTGTCATATGACCTGCCCTCTGGCCTACTCAGTTCTAGGCCCCTTCTTTGTGCTAAACAGCCAAGCAGATCCAGAAAGAGAAGGTGATTTCCTTGGGTCACCAGTCAGCTGGCAGCTGGTCTTCTGATCGGGATCCAGGCCTTCTCTTTGCCCAAGCAGATTCCCAGGAGAAGAACCAGAGTTGCTGAATACAGTTTTGTTTTGTTTTTTGTGTGTGTTTTTAAAAAATATATATTTTATTGATTTTTTACAGAGAGGAAGGGAGAGAGATAGAGAACTAGAAACGTCAATGAGAGAGAAACATCGACCAGCTGCCTCTTGCACACCCCCTACCGGGGATGTGCCTGTAACCAACGTACATGCCCCTGACGGAATCGAACCTGGGACCTTTCAGTCCACAGACCGACGCTCTACAACTGAGCCAAACCGGTTTCGGCTGAATACAGTTTTGGCCAAACAGAAGTGATAATGGGAACTAATGCCTTCTTCCATGCCCCTTGCTGCCAGAAGGTTTGGAGGAGCTCTGAAAAGAGTCCAGGAAACCCTGAGCTTAGAGAAGAACAAGAGAGTGTGGGACATGGAAGGGTTTGGTTTCTGCTCTGGTCTGCGTGTTTTATTTTGAGGATACAGAGCCCCAGCCCAGCCCCACCCACCCCACATGCAGTCAGGGTGCTCTTCTAGTATACTCATGGCTTCTGCAGAAGCAGCAGATGTCACAGGACCAAGTGGAAGTGCGACCGAAACTGTCCACTCATAGCCCGGTTGATGAACTCTGAGAGACATTGGTGGGAAACAAATGCTAGTGTCTGGGACGATGCAAACAGCCAGATCTAGAGGCTGTGTGTTGACCTACTTCCTTCCTGTCCCCAGGAGAGGGCAGGGTCGCTGAGAAGGGTGGCATTGGTCCTGGCCTCTTCATTTCATTGTTCTCTGGACTCCCCTCTCTTTTCCTAGAGCAGCGGTTCTCAACCTGTAGGTCACGACCCCTTTGGGGGTCCGAACGGCCCTTTCACAGGGATCGCCTAAGACATCCTGCATATCAGATATTTACATTACGATCCCTAACAGTAGCAAAATTATAGTTATGAAGCAGCAACAAGAATAATTTTTGGTTGGGGGTCACCACAACACGAGGAACTGTATTAAAGGGTCACGGCATTAGGAAGGTTGAGATCCACTGTCCTAGAGGGACATGAGACCGCTCACTGCAGAGAGCAGCCCTCAGTCATCCTAACCTCATGGCTGCTTGTGACCCAGAGGATGGTATGTAGGATTTGGAAGGGTTGGGGAGGGATGGGAGGTGGAACATCATGCACCCCTCCCCCACCCCTTTTCACAGACCTGTGTCATCCGGGCCTGGGACCGCAGAAAGCCCCTGCTCTTCTGCCCAGCAATGAACACTGCCATGTGGGAGCATCCCCTTACCTCGCAGCAGGTGGGCCAGCTCCAGGCCTTTGGCTATATCGAGATCCCCTGTGTGGCCAAGAAGCTGGTGTGTGGAGACCAAGGTGGGCATCTGGCCAGGCCGATAGCCTATCCTCACGGCCCATGGTCAGATCTGGATTAAGATCCCAGCCTGTTGTGACCTCAGGCAAAACCATTCTCCTCTGAGCCCAGCTTTCTCATCTGGAAGCTGGATATCATAATTCCTTCCCCCTCAGGTTGTTAGGATTAAATGTGATAGTTCAAGTAAGGTGCCTGATATCCCAGCGTGCAGTCCATGCATAGTTCATGACAGCTACCATAACTGTTTCCGGGTCCTGACCTGTTGGGTTTCAGAAGGATGTGATGGGACTGGCTCAGGCAGAAGGTCCTGGCCTTCTCAGGCACTGTAGTCTGGGTGGAGCCCTCAGGGGAGTACAGGGTGGGATGGGAGTGGGGTGGTACCCTGCCTCAGTCTGCAGGGTCACAGCAGAACATTATTCCCTAGGTTTGGGGGCCATGGCTGAGGTGGACACCATTGTGGACAAAGTGAAAGAAGTTCTCTCCCAGCACGCTGGCTTTCAGCAAAGTTGAACCCAAGATATCTCATGTGTGTCCTTTTGTACCCAGTGCGTTTTCAGGCCGTGTCAGTGAAGATGGACACTGGCAAAATATAGTGAGAATTCACCTTTGGGTAAGGGTCTAGCCTGGGCCTGCTCCACAGTCTCCGAAGGCTCGACCTGCCCCAAGGTAAATTGGACCAAAGGCCCAGTTCTCAACTTCTTTCAGTCAGGAGACTCCCTGCTATTTGGAGTTCCTCCCCCTCCTTTTCCTGGAATGGTTCCAGCAAGCCAGAGGGGCCAGCTGCTGTATGTCCCTGTGCCTCTGGGAGGAGACTGAGGAGTGACTGGCCAACCTGATTCTACACTGTGCCCAGGAGCCACTTTTAGAAATGGTCTCAGCTGGAGATTCCCGGGGTGGTGAGCCCCTGGCCTCGCCTTTGGAACGTCAGCTGCCCTGCAGAGTCAGGAAAGCCTGTAAGTTTGAAAGACCCTGACCATGCTGTAAGATTGGGGATACTGGGAAATAAAGTGACCTTTTGAGAGACTCTGTCCTTCTTTCACGGCCCATATGTGGTCTCAGAAATCAGGGGTATTGCTTGGTGTGGGTGAGGAAGGCTCTGGTGCTTGTTAGGCCCATGCCATACAGTGGTTAAGGGCAAAGGGCTCTGAAGCAAGACAGCCCCTACTTTTTTTTTTTTTTTTTTGACAGCCCCTACTTTATTTATTTTTATTTTTTATTTTTTAATATATATTTTATTGATTTCTTACAGAGAGGAAGAGAGAGGGATAGAGAGTTAGAAACATCGATGAGAGAGAATCATCGACCAGCTGCCTCTTGCACACCCCCTACCGGGGATGTGCCCGCAACCAAGGTACATGCCCTTGACCGGAATCGAACCTGGGACCTTTCTGTCCGTAGGCCGACGTTCTATCCACTGAGCCAAACTGGTTTCGGCGACAGCCCCTACTTTAAATCCCAGTTCTACCACCTGCTAGCAGTGGGACTTTGGCTCGGGACTCAGCTTTTCTGACCTTCACTTTCCTCATCTGTGTTACTCTACCCTTCCAGAGTTATTAAGAGAATCAAGTGAGATAATTTGTGTAGAATAACCACCCCACTGAGTGCCTCCTACATAATAAATGTAAATAAATGGAAGTTAAAGCTGCATGTGTATCATCAAATGGTCCTAGCATATGTGTGTGTGTGTGTGTGTGTGTGTGTGTGTGTGTGTGTGTGTGTGTGTGTGTGTGTGTGTGTCAGGGAATGGTCCTAGCATTTACTGAAATAGACTGTCTCATTTTGGGGAAAATAAAATCCTAACCCTTAGCAGATGTAGTCCTTTATGCAAGTGACAGGCACACGCCAGCAGGGTTGGAGTCTGTCCTGGAACTCAGTCCCCTTGCTTCCTGGTGTCTTCAATTGTTCGTGTGTGGTTTTTTCCCCCCCTTAATCCTCACTGAGGACATATTTATTGATTTTAGAGAGAGGGAGGGAGGAGGAAGAAGAGGGAGAGAGAGGGGGGGGGAGGGAGAGAGAGAGGAAAATCAATGTGAGAGAAACATCAATTGGTTGCCTCTTGAACTCACCCAATTGGGGACTAAACCCACAACCCAGGCATAAGACCTGACTGAGAATTGAACCTATGACCTTTTGATATATGGGATGACAGTCCAGCCAATTGAGCCACACCAGCCAAGGCCTGTGTCCTCAATTTTGCTACACCTCAGATGGTCCTGATAGAGGACCCGCCCACTGCCCAACAACACACATGGATGAGGAAGCAGGCTCTAGACACCATGCTCAGCCCTAGAAACTCTTCTCCTGCCTTTGACCTAATTGCTGTTTGATGGCTGCACTGGGGAGGTGCTTGTTTTCCTATTTGGAGCTGAGATTAGGGCTGGCTTCCTGTTCTTTTGTCTTCCAGGCCAGGGGTGAATGGGACCCCATGCATGCCCTCAGACCATGCATGCCTTCAAGGGGCACCAGGAAGCCTGGCTGGAACCAAGGCCTCCCAAAGCCTCCAAGAGCCTCTATTTCTATAGCACTTGACTTAATCAAGTGACCCTTCGGGATAAACTGCCTTAGGACCTTGAAGAAAATATAATTAAAATGGCATCATCAAGAACCAGCCTGTTTGGCTGGTTTGGAGGTCGTGGGTATGGAGAGAACCTGAATGACTGAAATTCAGAGACAGTCCCAAAATTCCACTTAACGTGGTTTCCAACATTTCTCTTCCTATCCACTTGCCCCTTCCTTTCCTTCAGTACCCTGCTAACAAATGGTGAGGCTTTCCAATTTTAATAGGAACTGCTACCATTTCCTGAGAGGCTCTGTGCTGGACCCTTTGGGAAGGCTGTTGCCCAGGAGTCCTGCTACAAAATACTTATTTTTAATAAAAGGTCACAGGAGTAGAGACATTTGTAGGCCTTTGTCTGATAGCTCTCAAAACAGCTGTGGCTACTTAGAGCAGACTGAGCCTTGTTAGCTGGGAGGAAAGAAATGTTCCTTTGGATCTGGGCCAGCTGGAGACACAATCTCTTGGAGCCTGCCACTTCGTTGTGGTAGTCCTGCACCCCTGTTGCCCATTTAGCGTGGAAGTCTGAATGAACAGGCTGGGTTTGAAGAGCCTAGTTGTTCCCACAGCTATGTAGTGCCTGAGCTGTACTACCCGGGCCCCATCTGCCAGAGGGGTGCTGAGGTGGGAGTGATAAGCACGGCTTCCCAGGTAAGAGTTAAAGCTCTTAAAGTTGTCATCATTGGGCAAAAGTGTTTCTTAGAGAAGATGCTAGCTTCCCTAATGATTTTTATACAATTCTGGGAGTTTGACGGGATTGAACATTTGGGTCTGGAGTTTGCACTTTTTAAAAAAATATATTTTATTGATATTTTACAGAGAGGAAAGGAGAGAGAGAGCTAGAAACGTCGATGAGAGAGAAACATCGACCAGCTGCCTCTTGCACACCCCCTACCAGGGATATGCCCGCAACCAATGTACATGCCCTTGACTGGAATCGAACCCAGGACTTCTCAGTCCGCAGACCAACTGAGCCAAACCGGTTTCAGCTGAAGTTTGCACTCTTGTTTGACAGCCTGGATGGAGGCTCTGTAGGCTGCCAGGGCTGCTACTGGTCAAGGAGCAGAAGCCTCTGAGCCAGGACCCAGCCTCCACACTGGGCTGTCAGTTCTTCCTCCATACAGCTCATGTGTCCCTCTGCCACTTCCTCACTGCCTAAGAGTAAGGCCCTGACTCCTGGGTAAAGCATACTTGGTCCCTGCCTACCTTTCTAGCTCCACCCTTTAACACATACCAGCCCTGCAGGATCCCCTGTCCTTTAGCCCAAACTGGACAACCTGCCAGACAGGACAACCTTGATGGAGTCCTGTTGCTTCTTGCCTTTGCACATGCTGATGCTTTAATTGGAAGGCCATGCTTCCCCTGGCTGACTCTTACTCATGCCTCTGTGTGTCTGAGTACCACCTACTTTGGAAAGCCTTCCTTGGCCAACTCAGGCTGGTACCCATTGTGCCACTTTCTCATCCTATATCCTATATAATAAAGAGTTAATATGCAAATTGACCATCATTCCAACATACAAGATGGCCAATCCCATGTAGTCAAAGATGGCCACCACAAAATGGCTAGCAGAGGAGGAAAATTGTGGTGATCAGGCCAACAAGGGAGGACAGTTGGGAGGGACCAGGCCAGCAGGAGAGGGCAGTTGAAGGTGATCAACCCTGCAGGGGAGGGCAGTTAGGGGTAACCAGGTTAGCAGAGGAGGGAAATTGGGGGCAAACAAGCTGGCAGGGGAGCAGTTAGACATCAATCAGGCTGGCATTGGATTAGATAGGGGGTTATCAGGCTGCTAGGCAGAAGCAGTTAGGGGCATACAGGAAGGCAGAAAGGTGAGCAGTTGTGAGCCAGCAGTCCTGGATTGTGAGAGGGATGATGTCCGACTGCCCGTTTAGGCTCGATCCCACCTAAACAGGCAGTCGGACATCCCTCGAGGGGTCCCAGATTGGAGAGGGTGCAGGCTAGGCTGAGGGACACTCCCCCCCCCCCCCCACTGCCCCATGCACGAATTTTGTGCACTGGGACTTTAGTTTTGTAGTATAAAATAAGAAAAAGCCAATTGGGGTACAGAACTGAGAAGATGGGAAGAAGGAAGAAAGGAGCCCTACTTTGGGGTTGGTCCTAGAGTCATCTTTGCTTGGCAGATTGAGATAATGGGAAAAGGGGGTAAGAAATTAAAGCAAGAAGAAACTCTGTTAACTCAAAATGCTGAGAAGAGCCTACATTCAGGGAGTGGCAGCAGAGCCATGTCGGCAGCCAGGAGTGGGTCACAGTTGGGATGAGCCTGTAGAGTGTCAGAGCTGCTAAGAGGGACAAGAAGATGGGTCTGGGATATAAAGGGACATTTTGATGAATGTTGCTGAGGATTGTGAGTTGGAGACACTTATATGTTCTTCAAGAGACCCAAGTAAAGATTGGGGTTCCTTTAGGTTCCTTTGCCAGTGTGTGCTTCTTTGAGTGTGATCTGTGCAGTACTGAGCCATAGGGAGCCCCAGATTATATTGGGTTTTATATATAGGGTGTCCCAAAAATGTATACACAAACTTTGAATAATTTTGGGGGTAAACCCTGTATATGTTGTGTATTCCCTGTACTACAAAAAGTTTTCTTGATTTTATTTCACTTTCCTAACACAACAGAACCACGATAGACTTAACTAGGATATTTAATTCCATTTTATACACGGGAATGTCAGGGTCACTCTTTCTCTTTCTGCCCTACAACTACCAAACAGGTGGCTGCTGCCTTAGAACCAAGCTCCCATCTCATTAGCATTTACCCTTTGGGATATGTTGAAACACCCCTCCACCACACACCACCACTATACATTACCACCATGTCACATACACACCACCACCACGTCCCATACACACCACTTCCACCACATCCCATACACACCACCACCACACACACCCCACTACCACCACACATCTCCATCCCCAGACACATATAGCACTAC